ATATACCAATGATTGCACTTTCACGAGACTTCAACATCACAGATACTACGTAGTAGTGTACTTGTTGAAGTCAAAGCATCTCCACTAAACAAAACCGTAATTTTCTACTACTAGTACAACTATTCGAAGTTACGGATAATTTCTCTATTTTCCGGGAGATTAGGTGATACTACGTAGTATTTGGTTCGGAGCGACACTAACAGTAAGTTTTCTCGTTTTACGGTCTAGAGTAATACACTAAATTTCCCGGATAACGTACATTTATCCGAAATTGTACCGGATACAACAAATGCTATCCGGGAAAACCGAAGTCTAATTTTACAAATACTGTCGTCGCGGTGGAATGGAGATTCTCTCAAAACAACAACACGGCACTGCACCCATTATATAAAAGGACTCGTCCATCGTACAATTCCTTCATTCACAGTAAGTCGAGTGGACAACCTTACTGTACAGTACTTCTGTGCGCACTTTCTGCCCTTTCTCAAAGTTGACGTAAATGTATCATCAAACTCTATCAATGACCATATGACGCTTTCCAACTTGAAAGGTTGTAAATGAACACGAGGCCTACTGTGTGTAGTAAGCTTGCATGACGATTTCATGTGGCATGTGCTTTGATTGGTTCATTGGCCAAAGATATAATTATGAGTGGGTACAAATGTTGCAAAACCGAACGGGATCAGAATATTTTGCCACCTGGTTAGAGTCTGCTCCGAGCCTGTATGCGTCGGCAAGACTCCTCGACCAAGATCTCAAGGTTGGGTGGGACACCCCTTTCAGGTACGACAAGTGATTCATCATTAAATAAATCGATATAATGACTACTACGTAGCAGACTGACCAAATGTGATACAGTTTGATGATACATTTACGTTCCATTTGGCCGTTGAGTGAGTGCTTTGTAGTTCACCGAATCGATCATTTGCTCCATCGTTTTCATTATATCGGTATGCTCAAATCTCCGATCGCTTTGCGAGGTAAAAGGCACATTCGGGGTTTCGGGGTCGCGGGGTTTCGGATTAATTCTAAGTCCGTACACTGCGTACTAAGCTATCCTGTATTTCCTTGGTGCGGTGGAAGCATTCACACAACGCAGACCACAGATTGACGCATGTGATGTCTTACTAATTTGAAAATACTGTTGCGGATTGCTTCCTACTGAGTCAGGTACTGACCAAATCAACAGTGTATAAGTTGTTCAGAATTCGGCTATTTCGCCTGTAACTTCCGATCATTTAGGCAATACTCCGGAGTAACCTATTTGATACCAGTACAGTTTATTCTTCCGTGACTCGGTCGCGGAATATTTGGTGGTGCACTCTGTAGACTTTCAGAAAGGGCAGAAAGTACGCACATAACTACTGTGCAGTAAGGTTGTCCACTCGACTTACTGTTAATGGGGTAATTGTACGATGAACGAGTCCTTTCAATATATTGGGTCCAGTGCCGTGTTGTTGTTTTGATCGGAAATACTGTTTCACATCAATAAGGGAATTACCCCATCCGGATAAACCATTTCACCAGTAGCCTTATAACGATGCAAAATCCCCGGGGTTAACTGCATCGCTAACCCACTGAAATGTACCTACAGTAACTGCTAGAAAGAGGTGAGTTGGCCCGAGCATACATAGCTCCATAAAACACTCAAATTGCAGTATTTTCTGCGAAAAACAACTGTGGAGCTGTTTTGATGAGGGAATTGTACGAGGAACGAGTCTTTTTATATAATGGGCTCAGTGTCGTCCACCTTTCTCTCTTGCAAACTGCTTATCCATATCAAATTCACTTTTCAACTTTCTCAATCGAAACAACCATGCGTGGATTTACGGCGGTGGCTTGTTTTTTTGCTGCGGCTGTGTTGATCTCCCAAGCACAAGCAAAAGCAAAGTGCCCCGTCACGAACCCCAAGAGCTCCAAATGCTGGTGCAACGCCTCCATGAAAGTACCCAGGATGGTAGGCAAATGCGACAGCACTCAAAAGCAGAACTTCCACCAAAGCGCGCAAAACGCCAAGAACAATGGGGCCACGTTCTACCTCTGTTGCGACAAAGCCAGAGCCAAGTCGTACTGCATGACCATCGCCGAAGCCCAGGCCTGTCGTTGGGAACAAGGGATTGCGTTTTATCCTTGATCAGAGAAGCGCTTAAATGCTTGCTACTTGATTAATAAAGTGGTACATTCCAAACACTGACAGCCACATGTGCAAAGGGTAGGGTTTGGAACGATCCGAGTCCAATCACACAGGAGGATTTTTCTAGACCAGACTTAGTACGGAATACTCTACTATGGTGCAAGTCATCTAAATACTACAGATCGGCCATCCTTAGGAGGAGACGGTGCGTCATGAGCCAGGTACTTAGGAGCTGGGTGCGGGCAAGGTGGTGTCAAGGCGTTATCCCCACCTTCCACATCGCTACATTCTCCCCCTGACGTCTTGCTACACCTTGAAACGCCTTGACTCCAAGTCTTGGACGAGTTGCTTGAAGTGCACAACATGTTTGATGTCCTTCATCAGTTGCCACCTGGCTTTGCTTTCGGGCTCTCCATACCACTTGACCAAGTACTCCAACTTGCGATTGAACTGGCGCTTCTTGAGCAGTTTCTCGACAATGTACATTTCTTCGCTGGTGTATTCGTCGAGAACAACAGGAGTAGCTTTCGGGATAGGTCGGGGGGGGGCAAACTTGGCTTCGTTGGGGTGATAGTGCTTAAGTCGATCAACGTTGAACACGTCATGAACAAGTGACATCGAGCGTGGCAACTTAAGGCGCATGGCGTTGTCATTAATAGCTTGGACAATCTCAAAGGGACCGATGAATCGTGGAACCAGCTTGGGACGCTCAGACTTGTCGAGCATCTGGGGATGCTTTAAAGGCAGGTTGCGAGTCACTAACAGTACTTGATCGCCTTCCTTGAAGGTCACGTTCGAGCGGCGCTTGTCATAATACTCTTTCTGACGCTGCTGGGCCTTCGTCACATTCTCGTGAGCCATCCGAATGACTTCCTTTCGATGTTCCGCAAAATTCTTTGCAAAGAATCATTCTTGGGCAAGGAGCTGCTCACGGCAGGGTTACGCAACTTGCGGCCTGTGTCGACTTCGAACGGCGTCAAGCCGGTTGATGTTTGGACTAAGCCTTGGTGGGCAACTCGATCGTTGGCAAATGGTCGACCCAGTCTTGTCCTAGATACCACACTTGACATCTGAGAGCATCTTCGAGAGTTCGATTCTGGCGCTCAGTCGCTCCATCGGCTTGAGCTCTGCCGGCGGTGGTCATGGCTTGGCCGATATCCATAATCTCCTTGAGGGACTTCCAAAACGTGCTTGTAAACTTGGGGTCACGATCACTGATGATCATTGCTGGTAGCCCATGGTGACGGACAACATGTTCGAAGAATTCCTTCGCCGTTTGGGGTGCGTCGACATCTGATCTCGTCGGGATGTACTTTGGCCGCTTGGAGAGCTTGTCTATGACTAACAAAATAGCATCATAGCCTCTTGACACGGGCAAACCGGTGATCCAAACCGCTGAAACAGTTTGCCAACACTCGTCCGGAGCGGGAATGGGAATCATCTTGCCATTTGCACGTAGACGGCTTGTCTTGTATCGGCTACATGTTTCACAAGTCGCGACGTATAACTTCACGTCTTCGGCAAGAGTGTTCCAGTAATACCACTGCGCTACACTTAACATTGTACTGTACGTCGAGTTCCAGGGTGCGCGGCAGTGCTTGAATCGTGCGCGTGAGATAAAATCTCGGCGCGTAGCACGTCATCGTTGGGGACACATATCTTCCAAACTTGGTCTTGGCTTCGGAGAAAGCAGAGTCCTTCCTTCCACTTGAAGGCTTCACCTTTCATGGACTTTGTCCCTTTGCGTAAGCCTTCACAAAACGTTCCTTGGTTTTGGTGTCCATCTCGATGGTGCTAAAGGACACTTGCTTCGAGTGGTTCAGCGTTAGGCGTTGAGGCACTAGCACTCCTTTTTTCTCCTCCAACTCCTCCCCCAAAAAGGAGAGTCGACTATGACGGCGATGTTACGAGTCGTGTAGGTGCCGATGCATGGACAAGAAGTCGATTGATGCGCGCGGCGACTGAGGCACAGTGGCCACACCACACGCGTGGATTAAGAGGTGGTGAACGGTGGAGGTGGCATGTGGAGGCCGAGACAAGGCATCAGCTACCACATTTAACTTGCCCGGACGATGATGAAGGGCAAAGTCGAAACAACTGAAAAAGTCAAGCCAACGCGTCAACTTGGGCGTAAGGACCGGCGTTGTCATGAACCACTTGCAGCAGGAGTTGTCGGTATATACATCGAACCCATTGCCATGCAGGCAATGGCGCCACTTGCCCAGAGCCAACTTAATGGCGTACAATTATTTTTCGTGCGCGGGCCAATTCTGTTCGTGAGGACCGAGGCGCTTGGACATGAAAGCAACGGGACGATCATTGCCGTCGCCGTCGAGCTGGGAAATGACTGCACCACAGCAGAAACCAGAGGCGTCGGTGGTGACTACAAAAGGCTTGTCGTAGTCAGGTAATTGCAAAACAGGGGCTTGCTGCAACGCGAACTTTATTATCAAAAACGCTCGACGCTCGTCCTCGCCCCAGTGCCACTTGGCACCTTTCTTCAGTAATCCACTAAGGGGACGGACGAGCTCCGCGAAGTCGGGGATGAACTTGCGGTAGTAACTGGCAAGACCGACAAAACTCATGACGTCTTTGCTCGACTGAGGCTCCGGCCATTTTTCGATAGCACGGACTTTGGACTGGTCCACGTGGAGGCCATCTTTCGAAATGGTGTGACCCAAAAAGTTGACAGAGTCGTCACCAAACGAGCACTTGGAAGGACGCGTGTATAACTTCTCGGTGCGAAGGACAGTGCAAATTGAACGCAAATGATCAGCGTGTTCTTCGATCGTCCGCGAGAACACACAAATGTCGTCCATGTACACCACGACAAAGTCGAACTTGTCAAACAATCGACGCATCAGGCGAGACCAGATGCCTGGCATGCCTGCCATACCCATTGGGGCCACGACCCATTCATAAACATCGCGATGGGTCCTGAAGGCGGTGTACTTCCTTGCTGATGGCATCACGAGCATTTGGTGGTAGCCAGACGCTAAGTCGATCTTCGTAAAGACTCGGCATCCGTGCATACGGTCAAACAGGTCTTCAATGTTGGGCAGCGGGATCTTTGGCACGATGGACTGAGAGTTGACATGGCGGTAATCCAACACCCATCGTATAGG